CCTGAACCCCCAAGCCCTAAACCCCCCACTAAAAAAAAAAAAAAACAAAACACAACGGCAAAAAGGCACCCTAAACCCTAAACCCTAAACCCTGCAAAAAAGGGAACCCGGCCTCGAACTCCGCTTTGCGCGTCTCCCAAGGCTCGACCAATTCCGAATACGCGGCCTGTCAAGCGGAGGTCTGTGGGCTTTAGGGTTTGAGGGTTAGGGGGTTGGGTTTTAGGGTTTTAAGGGTTTAGGGGGTGTAGGGGTTTAGGGTTCAGGGTTTAGGGGTTTGGGGGTGTAGGGTTTTTGGGGGGTTCAAGGCTTGGGGATTGGGCTTCAGGGTTTGTGGGGTTTTGGGGTTTGGAGGTTTGGGGGGTTTTGGGGGGTGTAGGAGTTTAGAGCTCATGGAGTTTGAGAGAGTTTAGGCTTTTAGGGCCCAAAGGTTCCAGAGTTTGGGGCTTCAAGGATTCGGTCTTTGGAGCTTTACCCTCAGGGTCCATGTACCCATATAGTATATACATTGGCCCCACAGTACCTATATAGGGACTACTTTAAGGCCAAAGTATATACTATTTGGGTGCATGGACCCTTAGGGTTAGAGTGTAGGGGTATGTTGTGTAGTGCTGCTCTGAAGCATGGTGCATTGAAGAAGCTCCAGAGTCAAACAAAGTATGACAGCAGGCATCATTGGATAGCACCTGACTTTCAGAGAAAGATACAGGATGACAGAACCAGAGACACACATCCCAAACCGAAACTCAAGAGAAGCGAAAGCTTGCGACCCCTATTCCAGGCATGCATATGGCGTAGGGTCCCGCTGTACTAGGCATCGACATTGATACTTGCTCTGAACATCAGTCTTGCTGAAGCACGGCGCCAGTCAAGGTCAAAAGCTAGGAGCTTTGGATTTCGACACAGCGCCACAGGATACCACGCAAGCATGTTAGCATCTGGTTATGCACCTCCAATTCAAGCTGCACAGATTGTTGGGTCTGAGATCCAACACCACGCAGCTGGTGAAGCAACGATTTCACTGACCGCATAACATCGCGCCACATAACAATAACACGATTCCTTCGCTTATACTGACGCCCAATAAGGCAGGGATTTCGTTCTAATTTAAGTCAAAACACACTAGCTGCAAGGGGTCAAGGCTTCTGGTTCTTTCGGTGAAGATCTACAGCAAAAGCTTGGCTAAAGTGGTGCTACATCGTAATAATAACGCTAGTAAATATCAACATATCGCACTGACAAGCAAGTTTAATAACCCTAAACCCTAAACCGATTATGCAAAGCTTCCCCTCCCGGGGACCAAGGTGCTAGTAAAGCAAGTGCGGCCCTGCAGGTCTTCACAGTATGAGACAAGCTTCTACCAACTCTCGCGAGGGTTGTTCAGGTTCAGGGTCTAGGGTTTAGGGTTCAAGGACCTTATGTGTGTACAAAATAGGGAACACAGGATAAAGGAGGCGCGGAGGGACCACGATTCATACCTACCGGTGCCATGTAGGCTTTGGACCATTTAGCACCCTAAAGCCCCAACCCAAAACCGTCGAGCCCTCCTTGACGATTGCGCCTCCATCTCTGCCAGGAGCTCTTGCAACCGCCACGCCTTTCTGCAAGGTTCCGATTGTGGAACGTGGGACTAAGGGCAAAGACCCGAGCCCGACCAGACACTGGATGAGTCCTCTTGTGATTTTCGGCATTCGACTGCAACCCTGTGCAGTTGGTTCAGGACTTCAAGGTTTGCAGGGCCGCGCATTTCATCTTAGGCATCAGTAATGAAGCCGAGTCACAACAGAAGTACCCTACCTAAACCCATCGCTGCAGCACTCTCTTGTGGATAACCCACTCCTTGTTTAGGTTGCGGCCATTCGCAGCCCCATAAGATGCCACAATTCCTCCGCTGGTGAGCCCCAATCTCAAACCCCGACATAGGCCTTGAATAGCAGTAGGATTATGAGGGCCCGTTGAGGACCCGTCAACACGTAAAGAAGGTCCCGTCTGGTCTTATACAACCGGCGGAAACAAAACAGCTCCTAGCCCACCTTCTTGGCAGGTAGCGGCGGCAGCTCGATCCAGGGTACTGAAGGACCATATGGGTCCTTCGGAGTTTAAGGGTTTAGGGTGTGAGGGTTTGAGGGGTTTAAGTTTAGGGTGTAGGTTCTATGGGACGAGTTCAAGCCGATAGCTTTGCATGAAGGACCAAGAACAGGGGTTTCCGGCTATACCATGTTGAGTTGTATCGTCATCAACCCCGAACCCTAAACCCATGAGGACTGCCGCAAGTGGAGCTCTCTTGAAGCTGCGGGTAAGAAGTTTGGCATGTCTCGTGCCGATGCTCTCGGATCGACCTTGACTTCCAATGCCATTCCATGCTTGGCAAAGGCCCTTGCGCTCTCAAGATCTTACAAGGACCCACTTACCCAAAAGATTCATGCCGAAAGTCCGAACATACTTAGGCAGTCAGGAGCAGCCAGGTTTTTCTTTCTGTTCCGTATGTGTGTGTGAGTGAGTAAGCGATCGAGCGAGCGAGCGAGTGTGTATACAGTTACACGTGCATACATAGGGCACACACACACGTACGGAACAGGGAGTGTATACCGTGTATACCGCTGTGTCAGCCGTCATTACTTCAATGGGATTTTCATGAGCAGCCGAGATAGGCCGTCTGGCCTTTAATTATAACACAACAGAGCAGGACTTTGCAAAGTCCCGCATAAACTGCAGGATTCTCCACATGTTCACGCTTTTAAGGCTCAGTGCTCTCGGAACCCTCCTTTTCGGGCGGAGGGTAGTCTTAGGTTCAATGTCCCGGATGCCGAAGCTACATGACCACGTGGTGCGCTCCTGCGGTGACATCACACCAGGTCCCAACTTGCGCTTGCGAAGCGCCTTGCGATCGACAGCCTGGTCCAGAACATCTGCTGACATGTGAGAGTTTCCGAAAATTTGGGGTACCTTATTTTGGGGTCCCTATATTAAGGATTCCATTATTTAGGGTACTATATGAGGGTCCCCTATTTTCGGAAACTCCCATGTGGGTATGAGTAGATGAAACTGACGATCCATCTTGCTTGCTCTCTCGCGTTCCTCTCGCTGTTCTCAATCCTCCTGCAAAACCAGTAACTAGTACGCAGGAATGAACCGCACACGAGTCATAACAGACATATGCATGTGTAGATATATGCACATGGCATCAAGCATCGTGTGCGGGCGAATTCACATGAACAAAGGCAATGTTCTGCTTTACGTTTAGAGAATGTGAGAACTGAGCACGTAAGTCTTCGAGTACAGTTCCGTGCATGTGCCTGTACGTTCTTGTTCATGACCTCGAAGCCCAGATACCTACTTGGAGGATCATGAGACTTAGCAAGTACGGTTATAACTGCCTTACTTAGGGTCATAAGCACTTATAAGTAGACTTACCTTATTTATAACCCTAGTTACTAAGTCCCAAGACCCTCCAAGTAGGTATGTGGGGCTTCGAGGATAAAATACCCCAATTAAGGTAGTTATAACCTTACTTACTAAGTCCCATGATCCTCTAAGTAGTATGGCATGTAGGGACCCCTTTGAAGTCTTCTGGGGCAGTCTTAGCACAGGACTATCACTGGGTTAAACCGAGAGGCTGGACTCCTGCCACAGCAACGCCGCGAGGAAATGAGCCTTGAGATGGGTTTATGGTTTAGGTTTTGTTTTTGTTTGACACCTCTTTTCCACCTGCCTGATTGAGTTAGGTCGAATGCCAAGTTTGGCTGAGGCAGGGTTTAGGGTTTAGGGTTTATTAGGGAGGAAATGAACCTTGAGATGGGATGCTAAAAACCCAGACCCTGCCCGAAACCTGTGTAACTTCATACTCCCTCAGACCCAAAACCCGTAAAGCCTTGACCTGTATAAGCCGATGTAGCCCCTCATATAAACCCTGAAGACCTAAAGCCTAAACCGCTTGAGATGGGATGCCAACTTCGATGCTATGCGAGCTCTTGAGCTTCGGGTTCTGCCGAAAAACTCCAGTGTAGCTCCGGTTTTGGTATGACGGTTTCGGATTCAGGGTTCACGGATCCTACCTCTAGATCACACAAGACAAGCTATCCAAAAAGGGAACTACAAGGGAGACAGCCTGGACCGAACCCTAAACCCTGAAGTCTGGGCTGGGCTTCCGGCTTTGAGGCTTTTCTGTTCTGCAAGGGGCTGGGGGAGAGGATTCCAGGTTCGAACATTTATATACAAGATACAACACTAAATGCAGGATGATATAATATAACACTACACAATATAATACAGCGTGGCCTGATATGGCCAGGGTACTATACAATATAATACTTCGCTTTGATATGGTAAGGGTGGAGAGTTTCGGACTCAAGGTTAAAGAGGTGAGGCTCGGGGTGATGTTCTGATGATTAGGCATCGACAGTGACCCAATGCCACAAACACCAAGACGACGGCAGTCACGGACACTACAAACAGAACGACCTTATCACACACAGACACATACCCTAGGGACCCTACCCTAACCCGCCAGGTACCCACTATATAGGCTCTAGTACCCTATATAGTAGGTACCTCGGGGGTTAGGGCTAAACACCCTAAACTAAACCGGTGATCGGTCATGCCAAACTCTACACAGCTAGGGCTGAGCGGCAGCAAGCGCTCACTCGGGGCACCAATGGCAGCTAGAGGTGAGAGCGGGCAGCACAATGGTAAGTTAAGCACAAGCCAAAATAAGACAATTACCCGTAGTTTCCATTGTAGTTCCTTTTCTTGGTCAACCAAATATACATGAAAGAAATGAACAAATAAATATATATATATATATAGATCCTAACCATAAACCTGATCAAGCACAAAAAGGCGAACTACAATGGAGACGTTCAGCATGCCTTCACCGTATAGGAAAAACGAGCATGAGCTTCTCACCAGGTTGCAGTGGGGCCTAAGCTTTGCCGTCTATGCCCAGAGGCCGTGCTAGGAACAAATCTAGGGCCATGTTCATCTAGAAGACTCAGTAATTACCAATATGTTTCCTAAGGGTTCCTTATAATCTCTGTAGAAATATATACCACAAAACTGATTATTAAGGGTGTACCCTAAGGGTCCATGTACC